CTGATCCGAAGTCGGACTCCTTGTCCACATGACCAAAGAGGTTAACCTTGGTCAGCAAATTATCAAATTTGGCCTAAATTTATATACCTGGTGGTAATGAAAGAGGAATAGTTGTGATTATATACCATCATGTCATTGGCCAAAATTTATTTACCTGGTGGTAATGAAAGAGGAATAGTTGTGATTATATACCATCATGTCATTGGCCAAAATTTATTTACCTGGTGGTAATGAAAGAGGAATAGTTGTGATTATATACCACCATGTCATTGGCCAAAATTTATATACCTGGTGGTAATGAAAGAGGAATAGTTGTGATTATATACCATCATGTCATTGGCCAAAATTTATTTACCTGGTGGTAATGAAAGAGGAATAGTTGTGATTATATACCATCATGTCATTGGCCAAAATTTATTTACCTGGTGGTAATGAAAGAGGAATAGTTGTGATTATATACCATCATGTCATTGGCCAAAATTTATTTACCTGGTGGTAATGAAGAGGAATAGTTGTGATTATATACCATCACAACTATTCCTCTTTCATTACCACCAGGTACATAAATTTAGGCCAAATTTGAAACATATATATTATATATATATTAATGATACAAGTATCAGGTAAAGTAAGAACAAGAGTGTCCTGATGGTGTGTATGGGCATCATAAACAGGTCATATAACAATTCTCACCCAATCAGAACACGGATTGTCTGTCTTATGACAAATATTGCATTTCTAACAAAAGTAAGTGCTTACTAAACATCCTTGTTTTCACCTGTTTGTCCGAATACAACTTGGACACTATATCTTACCATTGGCTGCCATCTTGGTTGGCGATCAGCTCTATGACAAGTAAAATTTACAAAACAATATTTTTTAATTATCAATTAGTGTTGTCATTATGATAAGGATAAGCATATGTCCAGACTAAGCAACTGGGAAGACAGTTTGACTGACATCAAACGCATGCTAAGACCATTTGTAGTCTACAGGTGAAAAGCGCTCTGAATCAAGTCACTGAGGCAACTTAATCAATTGGTTTTGCCTTTTTGTTGTACAAAGTATTCGAATAGAAAGAATATGGTTGACAAATGACATTTGTGGTAATGTTTGATGTAATAATAATGATAAGCCAAGCATATGTTAAGTGACTGGGAGTATAGTTTGACGCCTATATGCTAAGGTGAGGTGAGGTGAGGTGAGGTGAGGTGAAATTGGGTTTTAGGTCGTGCTTGAGAATATTTCGCTCATATGACGACGTGCATGCATGTGTATGTGTATTATACTGACTCCGAGACGACGAGTCCTTGTTGTACCCATTAATGCCGAGCGCCAGGCAGGGACCAACAAGTACCATATTTTAACGTCTTTTGGTATGACGCGGTCGGGGATGGAACCCTCGACCTTCCGTTCTCCGGGCGGACGCTCTAGCCACTACACCACGGAGGCGGTCCTATATACTAAGATCAAGTTTGGGTCTAAAGACGTTAATGCGCTCCAGGTTCTGTAAATAGTCCCGATGCAGAGCAGGCGTCTACACACAAAAATAGTCCCTGACATTATCACTCACAATGCTCAATGAATTCAGACAGTGAACAATCATGATCACTTTGTGACATGAAATACATAAACCTGTACAAAAATAGTACATAATGACATCAGTACTTAGATCATTCATGGATGTAAACATCGTGGTGATGGTGGTAATTAGGTCATGTTTGACAAGTGCTGCTGCAGCGAACATTCAGAGATTGGTAAACATAGATTATCATTCAACAGTGAATATGTCCCCTAAAAGATTATTCAAATAGATGAAGTTCAGAACCAGGTAACTACCTGTGATAATATAAGTGTATTATTCTAAAGACGGGCATTAGCAGATGGGGCGTGATGTAACGAAAACAGGTGACACTTATGATTGACACTGTGTCAATCATAAGTGTCTCACATTACAGATACCCTAATATTGAAATTCTACAGTAGTATTTCACTTGGTTAACGTTGAGACTAGTGTCTGTTCCTGAGACCCTCATTCACAAACCGTCGTTGCTTGTCAAGAGTATTGTTGGGTGTGTCGTTAGGCAACAGACAAACACTTTTTGTTGTTGTCAAAGACCAGGACATGCATAAACTCTCCGCGAACAACTAGTGTCATCAAATAGAGGTGCTTCAAAGACTGAAAAATCGGTATTCGCCCCTGGCTTCAAGTGCCTTCTGTGGGCATATATAATTTCTATGCCTAAGGTCTGAGATAATTGAATTTTACAATTTGTGGCGTACTAAAATCTAAAATTTACTTGATGTTTCTTCTAATGGAATAATGCCCCGAGTTTCATCGTAGACTCAGTTTTATTTACCAATAGTACATGGCAGGAGTTGTACATTGTAGAATTACGTATACTGCTGTGCAGTGCCAGGGTACACATTTTACCTGACTCGGGTGCTACCGGTAGGTGCTGGACGTGACCACATTTCCGGGAAAACCTTGTGTCATAACTTAATTGTGTCATTTGTCTTCTATGCCCATAGGAATCTGTTTCTCTGGCGTTGACGTTATATATTCAGTTGTGAAAATGTTTTGTATCGCTTTAGTATTTTCTTCCTGACAGCATACGACTGTTATACCAATCTGTCTAGACATGACAAAAACCCATTCAAGTAGCATACTTAAAGTTAGATACAATAATTGAGAAAATGCCTGTTTTCGTAAGGTTGATCGGTAGCATACACTTGATCAGAAATCTGCATTTATCTACAATAAAAGGTTAAAGTGTCTACGCGCATGTCGACGGGGAATTTGCTCTTAAGGGAAAGAAGGTAATATCGACACTATCTCGGAACGTTTAGTACTAAACATATAAACAATAAACAACAGATACATATAGAGGAATACCTGCTCAGGAATAACGAGGGCATAGATAGTCACATATTAGGTGAGCGGAGTTCTAGATCAACCTGAGGCCATTTCCCACGAGCAAACAAACAGCAGGAGTTATGAGAAGTTGTTTTTTTCACATTAATCCTCGGCATCATTGCATTGTATACTGACTGACCACCAATCTCACTCAGCAGTATTTCAGCTATGAAGGTTGTCTGTAAATAATCCATTCTTGACCAAACGATCAACACCATGAGGATCGACCTACGCAATTGGGATACGATGACATGTGTCAACCAGGTCAGCGAGCCTGACCACCTGATTCCTTTAGTCGCCTGTTACGACAAGCATGGGTTGCTGAAGACCAATACTAACCCGGATCTTTACGGGAATAATGAGAAGAGACTTTGTTGGAAAGGTTGGTGGTCAGTCAATATACAGTATCCTGCCTCACACATAAATGTCGTTTTCTGATTGGCTGAGCGCTCTTCTATCATTTTCAATATGTACCCCGCTTACAAGCCAGTAACATTTTCTGTGTACCCCGCTGGGAATGACGAATCATTTGGTACTTCTAAGTAGTAATTCTTTATCTCTAATAACATTGAATCACATATGATGTACGGAAATTACCGATGTTTTGCGAATGCAATTCGATGGAAGGGGGTTAACTCTAAATTTGTTTTTCTTGTCTTGTCCTCGATACTTTGATCCGATACCCGTGCTTCAAACAGTTCCGAATTACCATTGAGGTGGTCGGTAAGATAAATACGTTGTTCACTGGTCCCTCGGGGCCCATGGGTTGATGTACCCTCGATGTTTTATTTATGTTCCCCTCGCCCTTCGGGCTCAGGGAACATAAGCAAACATCGAGGGTACATCAGCCCATGTCCCCCTCGAAGCCAGTGAACAACTTGTAATGCAGCGATGGTGAGGATTAACAATGAGGTTAAGGGTCACATAACTAATGGCAATTTAGTGATGTACACCTTAAATGGCTACATAATAAATAGTCTATTGATTTAAAAGTTCTACCTTCAGGCACAGAAGCAGTTAAACCAAGTTGTACTTTTCCTTGGAGATCAAATAACATTCCTTATCGAACACCTTTTCATTCTACTACTTTGGTGAATGAATAAGAAAATAACAACATTAACTGGATTCATCAACGCGATGTCGAAAACCAACATGCAACATACGCTGATGATACAGAGGAATGTTTCGAAGGCACCGGGAACGGCTATGTTCCTCTATAAATGTATTAAATTTTAGACGAATGTGGATAAGACCAAACCAACAGGCACACAATAACGTACGGTAGAATCTTTAATGACCACAGGACAAGGAACAATACAAGTTACAAGAAAATTGCATATTGCTCCTTTGTAACAAGTTTTAATGAAATAGATATACAAATGAACATTCATAAGCTGGGCTGACTCAATGAATATTTGTGATCAGTGTGGTTCGTTTGTCAGCACCTGTAAATAATCGAATCTGAACCAGTGATCGACATTGTGAGTAGTTGCTACTCCCCGGATACGATGATACTCGGCACCCAAAGCTATTAGACATATCGTTACTACTACGTCTTCTAAGATGAAATTGGCAGACACAAAGTAACATATTTCTCGTGTGGATATGTAAAATTAGTGATACAATGTGTGCTTACCTCTAAGAAACTTTCAACGTACTCCCTAAAAGTCTTTCATATATAGACGAATACTGTTAAGAGCTCCATAGACTTTAAATGAATACTACACTTAACTGCCTTGATATTTCATGACTAGCAATGGTATAACGCAAACCTTTTCATGTGTTGAAGAATATCAAATAGCTCCATAACCTCTATAAAATAATACCTTTCACCACCTTGATATTCCACGATGGACAATGATATATAAGACAATAAGTATGTCATATACAAACAAATACCTTCATTATTTCTATACATAGAATATGCCTTTTCGTATGAATAGGTGGGATATAGAAGTTGCTCAGTGTGTGCATCATTTTGAATGGATAGTAATAACAATAATAATATTGTCTGCTTGTATTGCGCTTAAATCACATGCTTTGCATGCTCAAAGTGCTAACAGGTAACAAGGAAAAGGTGGCTTTTGAGTTCACATGAAGAAATAGTTCTGTAGGGAGAGAGTTCCAAAGTTGTGCTGCTGCAAAGTGAAATGATCTGTAGCCAAAAGTGTTCAGTTTATATTAGGGCACTTGCGGCTGAAACAGGGTGCTGGACCGCAACAACTTTGAAGGGGTATACAAACAGACAAGGTCTTGCAGGTTCTGTGGAGCTTTACCGTACACACACTGATGGGTCAATACCAGTTCTTTAAACTCAATCCGCTGTTTGACAGGTAGCCAGTGGAGCTGTCTGAGTATTGGTGATGTGTTGGAGTACCTCTTTGCTCGAGCTACAGTTATAGATGGGGGTATCGTCCAGTAACTCTGCTATAAGGAGATGATTTTCGGATATTCAACTCAGTTTCAGTTTTCAGTCAGTTCGTTCAAATCTGACTCAGAAAACGTATGTTTGCAGTGTCGTAATATTCTGATATGAATTTTAGTTTTTTTGGATTATGCATATTGTGAGTACTTATTCCTTTCACTTATTACCAATTCAGATCAAGCTCTGCTTTCTTTTGTGCAGAAGTTTGACCGTGCCCGTGGTTTGTCTTCTATTTCTAGATGTGTGGAGGTATTTGTGTCCTTCACTCGCATTTGTGACATTACTCAGTTCAGTCTTCAAACGGTTAATTTCTTTGTCCTTGGAAGCTGATTCTTGTTTTAATTTCTCTAGTTTCTTTTCAAGCACCTTGTTTTTCCTCATCTCTTCTCCGAGTTCACCTTCTAGTTGGAATATCTTTAAGCTTTTCAATTCAAGCTCTTCCTGTGAAATGAAAAGATAAAGCTTGCGTTAGACAAAATAACAACACATGTATAATAACATGTCGGTATCAGTACAAAATGTTTAAGATTTGGAAATATATTTATGGAGAACTAAGAATATTGTTTTCACAACATTTGACAAAAAAGAATTAATCACCACCACCATTAGCACATGTCAATCTTTCCCCTTTGTCAAATAATTACAAAAACACATTGAAGAACTTTCCTAAGACGAAAATTCTATCCTCTTCTTAAAATACGAAGGAGTTGTTTAAGAATACAACTGAAAACAAAAGGTTTAATTCATGGGAACCAGACAGGTTACAGTCCAGGCAGATCTATGAGAGGACATATCAGATGCAAACAAATAAGATAGACGAGGGGCGTGTAGCCAAACAAATAAGATAGACGAGGGGCGTGTAGCCAAACAAATGAACGTTTGAGATGACCTAATCAATAAATAGCAGTAACTCCATGATTATTCAAACATTTGTTTATCCGACGATGCCGAATCAAGTTCCCATTGACAGTCTTGCCCACTCCTCTTGAAGCGCCTAACAAAGTTCGGTTAAAGTCATAGTCTTTCACATTGACATCTGCCTATCATGTCCCATACTTACTAAATATAGGAAAGGTCAGGACTAACTACTAGCCATTGCATGTCGTCTCGGGGCACTTGTTTAATCTCCTCGACCTGAGGTACACACAGTTAGGGTTGTTTGAGATATCTACTTACTTTGGTTTCTCCATCGAACTCCTCCGACAGCTCTGCTATGATTGTCGCATACTTTTTGCCCTTTGATTTAAGAGCCTCAACAAAAATAGAAAGCCCATTTGCTCCTCCATATTCAGTTAGAGCTCCAAACAAATATTTGAAACCTTGCTTTGTACTGTACCCCTCAATCAACACGACGTCGTCTCTGTCTAAAAGTCTTTCGTCACATAAAATGGTCAGGATATCGTCTTTATCCAGAAATTCCTCAATCAAATGCCAGTTTTCTTCTAGTCTGTGTATGTGTGCCTTTTCCATAGGGTTGGGTTTTCTTGCTCTAGCCATCTGAAAATAACAGAAATTATGGGTCAGAACAAATTGATCTTACGACATTACATGTTGCAATTCTTTTAGGACTATGAAACCGTTCATAATTTAAGGGATAGGGGGATGTGTGTGTGTGTGTGTGAGAGAGAGTGATGATGTTACGGGGGTTATTCATTTTGTTTTGGGGAGGCAGGGTGGTCAGCAATTTTGTACATATATATATTAAAATTTTATGCTTAAAAATTATGGGAGGGGTAACTTACTTTGTACCTAAAACTTAGGGGGTTGGGGGTCATTCACATTGTACGTGCAACTCATCACCGCACGCAGGCTTGTGGTAAAGTCGGATTCGTACAAATAATTCTGCTTTAGGCCCAGATTTCTTATTTCTTCATGTACAGGGCTTAGATTTTCGAAGCTCTCATATCGCTAAGATAGTCGTAAGTGCCATACATTAACATTATATTACCATCTAAGCGCTAAGAGAGCTTCGAAAATCTAGTCCCAGGATTTTGTCACAATTAAGATATTAAGAGATCTAAGATGAAATTGGTAGACACAAAGTGACATACTTCTCGTGTGGATATGTAAAATTAGCTTACCTCTAAGAAACTTTCAACGTACTCCCTAAAAGTCTCAACGTCCGTCAACAACACAGTGTTTCCGACAGGTAGCCTCACAACACTGTCACATTCAACCGCTGTGGTAAACTCGGCTCTGACTGGAGCGTATTGTGTGTGCAGTATAATCTACTCAGGTCACACTGTGTTATTCGATCTTCCTATGTCTCTATGGGTGTAGAGTGAGGTGGATAGCGCTGTGTTGGCATGGTTAATATTCTACACCACAAAAACAGTTGATAGAACAAGGCTATATCTCAGCATTGTGGCCCAATTTGAATAGTAAAAACCTACCGTATGGATTTGACAAATGTGTGCCCATTCGTGATGTTTTTTGAAATATGCACATGAACATTTTGTAAAGAAAGCGAGAGAGAGAGAGAGAGAGAGAGAGAGAGAGAGAGAGAGAGAGAGAGAGAGAGAGAGAGAGAGAGAGAGAGAGAGAGAGAGAGAGAGAGAGAATGTGCGTGGGTGTTATAAACTTTATATGTATCAAATACCTACATCATTTTACTTATACTATGTTTACGAACACGTAACATATCTCTTTACGAACAAACGTAGAGTTTACATTAAATCACATTTCCACAGGCTAATAACAGCGAAGCGGGTATACGTGTAGAGTCATCGTAATTAATAATCGACTTAACGCGAAGTATCTGATGTTCTGGAGCAACCTATCAGAACAGTAGGAACAGTGAAAATCAAGTCCAAATCTAACTACGTTATCTAGTGTCAACATTAGTTACTTTGATTAAATCGACCACTGATGTCTGACAAATCATTCGGAATGTGCATTCCATGTGTGAACCGCGCCTCGGATCACGTCTCTTGTATGCTGTTACCCAATACAGAGATTCACGTGTCTAAAGTCCTTGGGGCGATTTGTTTACAAGAATACATTGAGTTTCCTCCATGGAAGGGCACTTGTACTGTTTGAATACGAAGATTTGGCAATGCTTGGATAATTTCTAACGACATCTTGTATGGGTGTTGTACTGTCAAATAGTGGCTGGTTGTAGGTCAGTGGTTGAGATGTGTACTTTCGTGTTGACGTTTTGAAAGTTCCTTTGATAATCGTCTTTAAATGACCGCAGACCCATAAGCAATATTTCATATATACATGTGTTATGTATTTGTTATTTGTTACACTTTCTTAAATATTCATATCAAGGTGTTAACCTAACAAAGGTTTACAGAAAGTCAGTTATCCTGGTAGAAGAGTAACAATATAGGTAATTTCCATAAAAAAGTATCGATAATGCAAAACCTCACATGGTCACAAAGCATCCCAATCCATTGGAACACAACATGTCATTATTGATGCATTAAAACCTCTGTTGTACAACACCAAACAAACATTCCTGTGACATAGCACTAACAGAATATGAAGTCTTCCAAACACCTGGTGTGCTATGTTGATGAATTGGTTTTAAATAATTAGTTTTGAACTATAATGGTGTTGTACAACAGAAAGTTCTATTTATTTGTAAACATGGTTCGTCCTAGACAGTGAGCATCGCGTCCGTGAAATGTTGATAGAAGGTATATTCTGAGCTGTTCATGATGATGATCAGACCCGGCAAGATCCGGGTTAGAATTGGTCTTCAGTAACCCATGCTTGTCGTAAGAGGCGACTAACGGGATCGGGTGGTGACTTGGTTGACACATGTCATCGGTTCCTAATGGCGCAGATCGATGCTCATGCTGTTGATCATCGGATTGTCTGGTCAAGGCTTGATTATTTACAGACCGCCGCCATATAGCTGGAATATTGCTGAGTGCGGCGTAAAACTAAACTCACTCATTCATGATGATGATCAATGATGTTTCAGTACTTAACCGGTACTGGTGGCTTTTACGGTAGCTGCAAACGAGTATGCGTCCAATCTACTGTGGTTTACAGCTCTGACTTGGTGGCATCAACAGGAACGTCTATGTGGGAATTCGTTAGGGTTCTGTGCACACAATGAAACTTTGTGCTCTGAAATCACTCTGTCCTATAAAGTGCCTGCTCATGAATTTGAATGATATGGACTGTGCAAAGAAAAGTAACAATTTGACCTAGAGAACCATAAATTATAGGCAGCTTGTGCCTTTGACATACGATAATTATGCATAGATATAGTGATTTATAGTGTGCGAGACGTTCATTTAGCGGGAGGTAGGCTGAAACTGACGGTAACTATACGTTACCATACTGTGAAACACAATTGTCATGAATTGAGTTGACATTGTAACAAATTGCGGGAACACCAGTGTAATGTATTAAAAAGTAGTACCTAATAGGTAAGCGGGTATTAGGCCACATTTGTTTCAATTTTCAGGTAACCAGAACTAGTTCATACATTGAACCCGTTATGGAAATCGAACCCGTGTATCCGGTTTTACGACCAAACGCCTTAACGACGAGGCTATCCAGTCGCTCTTCTTGCGTATACTGTGGCTCGAACTTGATGAATCATAATTAATCAAAGCGACAAAACCTTTTCCACATCCACGAGAAACATCTTCCAACTCTATCATCCTGCTTACGAATACGTCATGACCGTGTGTTTATGAATCCCTATCAAACAGTGTGGGAATCAGGTGTTCGCAAAGAGTTGAGCATATCCTGCCGCATCGGTGGCACCCTTCATGAACACATGCAACTGTTCACCTAAAATACAGGAACGTAAGCAGGATCGGATACAGCTTTTTGAGAAGTGTGTGTGTGTATGTGTGTGTGTGTGTGTGAACACACCATTGAGAAAAGAGGGGTGCACACTTCATTTTCACCCGAGTTTCAGTGGTAATTTTTTACATTTTTTTTAGGACAACCTGCCCACCACGACCCACCCCCTCTGGGTACGCCTATTGTAAGATGGTATGGTTTGAGTCAGAGTATGAAATTCCATTGGACACTATATTTTAGACCGATGCATCAACTTTGGCAATGTCCTCTACATGTTTCCCATGAAACTTTTGGAAAGTTTTTCTTGGGCCTTGGGTGTTTTAGCCTTGATCCAACAACTTCTGAGCAAGAGTCGTTTGTCGCTTTGGAAATCTCTGTTAAACCGTCACGCTCCATTGTACCACCACACGCTGAGAGCTGTTGGAATATTTAAGTTTTCCTTAAATTTATCCAATCGAATAGTGTGTGCAAAGTTGAAAAATCAACTAATAATAAATATAATCTAATGACATCACGCCATAAACTACTCTGAAAGAAAAACAACATTTTGCTTAATTTGTGAGAATAATCCACCCTCTCTAAATAACACGCGTAACGATGTAGTTTTCATTGTGCTTTAATCCATCCAAGATAAACAGAGTGTAATTGTTAGAGTGACTAGCATTTGAGTATAATAACGTACAGCTGACCCGGGGAAGATCCGGGTTAGAATTGATCTTCAGTAACCCATGCCTGTCGTAAGAGGTGACTAACGGGATCGGGTGGTCAGCCTCGCTGACTTGGTTGACACATGTCATCGGTTCCCAATTGCGCAGATCGATGCTCATACTGTTGATGACTGGATTGTCTGGTCCATCCAGTCTCAATTATTTACAGACCGCCGCCATATAGCTGGAATATTGCTTAGTGCGGCGTAAAACTAAACTCACTCACGCTCACGTAGGGCTGTGTGTAAGGGAACAGCCAAAATAATAGCATAATACTATACATGGTAATCACATATAAGGTGACTGTTGGTTTAGACAGCTGTTGTCTTAAACATTCAACGTTTGGTTGTCTCGCTCCTAAGATCTTGTCAATATGTTAAATGTATTTTTAAATAATGTGATAAATATTTAGATAACCTTACCCATCTTGGGATTCTTCTTATAAGAGTTTGTGTATTTGTTTCCAGAACTACATAAGTGAACATATCTTGGAATTAGTTTTAGATGGAGATCTTTTGCTTTTAGTTTCCCGTACCGGCATCAGTGTCTTAAGAGGCTCCAGTCGCTTTAGCTCTTCATAAACTGTGTTGAACTTAATATTTAAATCTTGAATTTGCTCGGTATTAGAATGTAAGGCACCTTCAAATTCGTCAATTTTCACCTTTGCGTTTTCAAGCTGAGCTTTGAGTTCCGAATTAAGATTCTTAAATTCACTGTTTTGACAATCAAGGTCGGTGTTTTGTCTCTGCAGTGTGTCCATATCTTTTCTCAGTCCTGCATTCTCACTTTGAAGTTCATCTCGTTCAGTTTTGAGCTCACTGACTTCCCCCTGTAGTCGACTGTTAACACCTTCCAGGTGTTCAATCTCTTCGATCTGATGGTTAATAACTGTTCGTGCTGTTTGTATTTCATCTTCCAGTTCGTCTATTGTTCTAACTGGACAACTGTCTGACGACACCTCGGATCCATTGTAGATTGAGGCACTTGCGATTGATTGTTCACTGGTAGCATCTTGGTTGCTCTGCAAAAATAAGGAATATTTTTGAAACTTCAGCCATACTGGTTGGTTTATTGTTTAACGCCGCACTCAGCAATATATCGCGAGTAAATAATCAAGTCTGGACCGGACAATCCAATGATCAACATCATGAGCATCAATCTACGCAACTGGGACACGATGTCATGTGTCAGCCAAGTCAGCGCGCCTAACCTCCCGATCCATCAATACTGAAAATATATAGATAACGTATAATCCAAAAGTATCCCAGAAACCATACTGTGTCTAGCAAACTGTCTTCAGACCGTGTGAGTTGGGGGGTGGGGTAGCCTAGTGGTTAAAGCGTTGGCTCGTCACGCCGAAGACCCGGGTTCGAATCCCCACATGGGTACAATGTGTGAAGCCCATTTCTGGTGTCCCCCGCCGTAATGTTGCTGGAATATTGCTAAAAGCGGCGTAAAACCACACAGTCAGTCAGACTGTGTGAGTGGGGTGGTTAATATACTATTGAATCACACCTTCACCCTCAGGTCGCCTTTAATGAAGAATGAATGTTATATTAATTTACATCAATAGCGTGAGTAGTACATTGTACATACCACTCATTAAGCTAAGTATACAGTTAGGGTTTGCTCGTCACGCCAAAGACCTAGGTTCGATTCCCTATATGGGTACAATGTGCGAGGCCCATTTCTGGTGTTCCCCGCCGTGATATTGCTGGATATTGCTAAAGGCGGCGTAGAACTAAACTCACTCACACATACAGTTGATGTGCTTA